CAATAAGCGATCCTGAAAACTATTTGGGGGTGTCTTTAACTTTTTTCCAGGTGTATATGTGGTTAAGTTATATTCTTCTGTTCTGTAGTGGTTGACTAGTAAAGACAATTAATGTTGGACGTTTATACCAAGGAATTACCCATATTTCTACATACATATATAAAAACCCTTAAAAACAATAACTTAAAACACCTAGTATTTATCAGCGACTCTATTTATTCTCAACTTACTGAGTAACCATGATCTAACCATTGATATATTTCTTCATATTGGTGCGGTCAAGCTTCCTTGGGCAGACCCGGTTAGACTTAATTGAGAAAGCGTGATGTCAAGTTTAAAAATTGAGAATGTGACGGGATTGTTCGGCATTCAGTTGTAATTTTAGGCACAACGAGTTGGGCAAGAACAGGGAATCACATTTTACAGGTGAAACTTTTTCATATTTAGTAATGAGCGTTTTATGTTATTTTGTCTCAAAATTGATTTTGCAGTAAAAAGATAAAACGTTTACTACATTATTCCGACTTCTCTCCGAAAAAAGGACGGTACCCTGGAGTCAGAGGAGTTGATTAATTGTAAATGTAATTTATAACGTTCAGCCCAATCTCATAGGTAGATAATGACCTATTTGTTGTTAGCCTTTGTAGAGCCCCAATAGTACTGTCATGTTTTATGTATTGGTGTAACCCTATTTATGTAAATATCTTATTTTAGAAGTACTGTCATGTTTTATGTATTGGTGTAACCCTATTTATGTAAATATTTTATTTTAAAAGTACTGTCATGTTTTATGTATTGGTGTAATCCTACTTATGTAAATAGTTTATTTTAGAAGTACTGTCATGTTTTATGTATTGGTGTAATCCTATTTATGTAAATATTTTATTTTAGAAGTACTGTCATGTTTTATGTATGTGTTAGAAGTATGTTATGTTTTATGTATTGGTGTAATATTACTTATGTAAATATTTTATTTTATAAGTACTGTCATGTTTTATGTATGTGTTAGAAGTATGTTGTGTTTCATGTATTGGTGTAATCCTACTTATATAAATGCGTTTCTACATTTAAACAAGAGAAAAGGATTAGTTTAAGTTCGAAAGTGAAACTTAAGTGTAACGTAATGCCGTTAAGAAGATGAACATGGTAATCGTGAAGAGAAAGACATCGTCGCTTAAAATATCCAACAAAATAAACTACAAAGTTTATTTCATGGTCAGATAATTTTATTGCCAACCTTATTTGTATAGTTATATCGTAGTACAATTGGTCATCTCGTGGATCGTAAGTCTAGATTTAGAGTGGAAATAATACCCAGTATAACACTAAAAAAAACATGAAATAAATTATAACATTTTATTTCATAGTCATATGTGTTTATTTCCAACATAAATGGTATGATTTGTGGCAAAATCAAAATTATTAGCAAAGAAATATCGTAAATTTTAGTCTCAAAAATCGTGAACCTAGTATTTGTTTACGTTTGTTAATGCTAAAGTTGACCGTTTGAATATGGCGGCTTGGCTGACGTGTTCAGAGATACATTTTTAGTTTAAAGCGTGTCGTATCTAGCGTTATATGATACGTATATGAAGCTGACATTCACCATACAAAAACTCTTAGCGATAGGTATTAATTTCCATCGATTTTAAAAGTAGGTGAAGACTTGCATTTAAGCATATTCAGTAAGCATTAACTTCTCGCTCCGATAGAATTAAAATTTCTTCTTTTTCTCATAGAGGATGGATAGATATCAAAAATGATCCAGTTTGTTCTCGTACACCTGTATCAGTTAATAATAGAAACAACACACCTGTGAGCTCGACAAATGCCAGTTGTGAAGTATATGGTCAAGGCTTGTGAGGAAGCGATAAAGCCATGAACATTAGGAGCAATGTTGTGGTTTGTAAGGAATAAACTAACAAAAAAGTAAGTCTTTGTTTTATATCTATCTATCTATATGTATGTGAAAAATGGTTAGCAAATTTCATTTCCTTAAAATCAATGGCAGGAGGGTGCATTAGGATATGTTTGATTGTTTGTTTTGAATTTCGCGCAAAGCTACACGAGGGCTATCTGCGCTAGCCGTCCCTAATTTAGCATTGTAAGACTAGAGGGAAGGCAGCTAGTCATCACCACCCATCGCCAACCCTTGGGCTACTCTTTTACCAAAAATAGTGGGATTGACCGTAACATGATAACGCCCCCACGGCTGAAAGGGCGAGCATGTTCGGTGTGACGGGAACATTAGGATGTGAATGTTAACATTTATTTTATTTTTACTGTTTTGAATATAACTCGTTTTAAGTGAAAGATTATATTATCTTTAACAATGAGTTTATATCTATTTGTATTATTGCTATAAAATGTTCAATTCGAAAGTAAAAGGTCGTGTTTCATGAATAGTTTTAGCACATGAGCTTATCGAACATAAGACTTATCACTTGCGTAGTGACTGCTAATGCATCAAAATAATGAAATATATAACATTTTATTAGACTTGAAAACCAAACATTGAATTGTATTATAAATTCCCTGAAATATTTAAGTCTAAATCTTATTTGCATATCTCATTCTCAGAACATATAAAAATATGTAATTTGTTTGTACTTTTTAGACGATTGAAAATAATTTACAAAGTGAAAAAATGCAACAACCGAGACGTAAGTTGTTTCTTCTGCTGTTGGTTTGCGTTGTGTTTGTTCTGTGGAAGAATGCAGCATTTAAAAAGAAAGAAATTTCTTCTACATCTTATGAGGTATAAGTATTTAAATTAATATTAGAAATGTTCTTCTCATCTTTTTACATTTACTTTTCATTCTACTAACGTATATTGATTTTGAGAAAAAAACTGTTTCTTTTCAATGATCAATTTTCTCCTGAGATTTAAAGCTAGTTTTTGTTTTTTAACATTTTGGGTGTGTCATCTGAAAATCGTTTATTTTATAAAATGTATATTTCTTTTTAAACAAAGTATTAAGAAAGAGAATAGTATTAACAAAGCAGAATACACCACTTAGTGAACGTCTCTAACAGTTAGGATTATGGGGTTCTCCGGAAGGTTCCGCTAAACAGGAGGTCCTACAAATACTGATTTGTAGAATATGGGTTTGTCTCTCTGAACTCCAAATGCGCTTGTCAACAAAAAGGAGTATACAAACAAAATACATTAAACAATAATCTTTGTGAAAACAAACACGATACAATATTAAAATGAGAACAAGTGTTTGTAATGGGTGTGAGGAGTTGTTAAGTGTTTGTAATGGGTGTGTGGAGTTGTTAAGTGTTTGTAATGGGTGTGTGGAGTTGTTAAGTGTTTGTAATGGGTGTGAGGAGTTGTTAAGTGTTTGTAATGGGTGTGTGGAGTTGTTAAGTGTTTGTAATGGGTGTGAGGAGTTGTTAAGTGTTTGTAATGGGTGTGAGGAGTTGTTAAGTGTTTGTAATGGGTGTGAGGAGTTGTTAAGTGTCTGTAATGGGTGTGAGGAGTTGTTAAGTGTTTGTAATGGGTGTGAGGAGTTGTTAAGTGTTTGTAATGGGTGTGAGGAGTTGTTAAGAAAGAGAGAGAGAATGCTCTTTCACCAGGTTAATGTGACGCCCCCCCCTCCCCACAAGCTAAGATAAAAATTTAATTGGAACAAACTAGGCCTTACAAACGCCATTACAGAATCTTAACAGTTCTCTCAAGAACTCTAAATATAAAATCTGCCTAACAGGGGAGAGCCTAGAGTTAAGTACCAAAATACAATAATATAAACAAAGATAGGCTGCTCATGAGATGCACCTCGCCAATGTGGCATTAACCTTTCCCACTCGAACATGGTTCTCCAACAGGAAAAACAACAACAGCTTTTTATGAAAGGACATCATGAGTGAAGTGACAGCTATCTTTCCTTCAATAAAACAATTACCCAATGATACAACCATATATATAAGTAAAAACAATTTTACAATAACACAAAACACTTGACAAAGATCTCCTACAACCTTAAGTAAGGGGTAATTAAAACGCTATACTTGATAAAACAAAATAGCGATGCCATCTAACAACAATACATGTCAAAATACTCTTTAACAATCATTCAATTACAGCTACACACCAATGAAAAAAACCCCTTTAAGAATGCACCATATTAAGAAAATACTCTTTAAATTGGTGTGTAGCTGTAATTGAATGATTGAAAAAAACCCCTTTAAGAATGCACCATATTAAGAAAATATTCTTTAACAATCATTCAATTACAGCTACACGCCAATGAAAAAACCCCTTTAAGAATGATCCATATTAAGAAAATACTCTTTAACAATCATTCAATTACAGCTACACACCAATGAAAAAAAACCCTTTAAGAATGCACCATATTAAGAAAATACTCTTTAACAATCATTCAATTACAGCTACACACCAATGAAAAAAAACCCTTTAAGAATGCACCATATTAAGAAAATACTCTTTAACAATCATTCAATTACAGCTACACACCAATGAAAAAAACCCCTTTAAGAATGCACCATATTAAGAAAATACTCTTTAACAATCATTCAATTACAGCTACACACCAATGAAAAAAACCCCTTTAAGAATGCACCATATTAAGAAAATACTCTTTTACAATCATTCAATTACAGCTACACG